CGCAACCGCTTGGGTACCAATAAACTGGAGAAACTTCTGTTTGTTCAGAAAATCTGAATAAACTCAAAGAGTTATCGGGATCACAGATGTCACCGGCGATAACTGGCGCCGCGGCAAATCAGTCATCAAAGTGAAAGATTGACAGAGGAGGATCTCACGAGGAGATCAGAAAAATGTATCGACAACTGCTTGCCGACAAGAGCGAAGTAGAGATAGTAGATGAGTAAAAGGGTTCAATACTGATATTGTTGTCAGACTGTGATTATTTTTATTATTCCTATGAACTGTTCGAAAAGAACAAGTTGTTACATGTGCATCAATAACCGGATACTGCTTGGTGCTTTTTTAATAAAAAATCAATCATGTTCCAGTGAAAGAGAAAAAGCAAGTAATTAATCTGTAAAAAGTGTTAAAACTCCGTGACCGACCGTGACTGAACTTTTACTCACGGTCACGAACTGCTGTTTTTAATTAGTCACGCCACGGTCAAAAACCGTGACCGTGTTCAGTCACGATGATCTCTACTTCCTTACCTTCTTATAAGGACAGTTTTCTGCTTCCACTCAGTTATTATCATAATATTAGTACGTAAAAAAAGTACACAGGCCGCAACAGGCAGGCGAGGCCCACGAAAAGTAGACATCTTTGAACCTTTAGAATCCAACGAATGAACTAGTGGCGTAGCCAGTGTTTGTCGAATGGAAGGAACAGAGGGGCAGCGACTCAAGTAGTTTATAAAGGTGGGTCAATCAGTTTACGAAGAGAGCTCAAATGGTTTATGAGGTACTGGGATGACTAAGCCCCCAGCACCACCACTGACTACGTCAGTGGAATCAACCCTCTGCTTCTCAAACAGTAGAGTAGAGTACATATCATATGCATACCACTCACATGCACGGAGCTATGGAACGGAGGGAAGACAACAATATATCATACCGAACACGCGTAACGTAGAGAGCAGAGCTTTCTGGTTGGTCATCAGCTCGTCGGCCAGGCCAGATCAGGCCAAAATTGTTCGCCTGAGCATAATGTAATATAAGTTGAAATGTAAGATGATGTCACAAGTTGAAAATTTTGTTCACCAACTTTCGTCATTTATAATTGGTAAAAAGTCTCTTAGAATGAAAGAGGAATGAATAAAAGAAAGAACACAATAGCTATGAACGCCTTTTTAGCAGAAAAATAGAAAATGGTGCTATTGTTCAGTTGAAAGACAAAACTCTCTTCTTTTTTTCATAATTTGCCTTTGGGCAACAATTTATATGCAGCTAGGTCAACTACTGATAGTTGTGTTTTATTAATCTCTTATGCTTTATCTATTTTAATGTCATCAAATACAAATGTTTCATAATCTGCTTCTTCGTTAGAATCATTATTATATTCTACTGAATGGATATATTATTTGTGCAAACTGGAGAAACATCTATACGATATTATTAATGACAATTTATCATCAGTTCTTCCCTCATATTGGTATATTTTTGGATTTCCAGCTAAGTCAGACAAAGAAACTAGTAGTTTTGAGAAAACTTTACATTGTGAAGTTATAGAAATTAAGGAAGTTGAAAAATCAGAAACATCAGTTGGCCTAGTCTGGCTTGCAGGCCAGGCCAGATCGAAAAGTGGTCTGTTGGCTGCTCTGGTAGGGAGAGCATGATATCTGATAGTGAGATACAGAATGCATTGTCATGGCATGGCAGTTAAGGAATAGCGCTTAAAGAACAAAAGGATCTAGTTACTTATTTATATTCGAATGTTCAATTTGACTCTCAGGTAAAATTTTTAGTGGAACTAGTAATAAGAAAAGAATGAGTCAAAGAACCGTGTTCAGAATACTTATCAACAATCACACAATTAAATCGATGTGTAGTGTTTAGCCTACCTGAATTTGGATGTCGAATAACAGCACAATGTCCTAACCATCCCAAGAACGAATCGAATTCTTCTTTCACATTTTCATAATCCGAATCTCTGCCGACGACTTTTATTGTAATAGTCTCTGTTGATGTATTCGGATTAACGGTTATTTTTATTTGTTTCTCAGCTTCCCATCGCCAAATCATCGGTTTAAATAGTTGCGGCATTTTGATCACACTTTTCAAATTTCGTGATAAGTTTATATATTCTGTTGAGTCCTTCTTAAATTTATTTTCTAATGAAAAGTCAGGTTGTTCAACTGCTAATTGTTGTAGCAGATGCAATTCAGCGTTTAGAGAAGTTCCAGCATTACCGTCTAATGATAGATTTGTCTTATTGAGTTTACTACTCGGAGTTACTAGTATAGAAATTTTATGGAATTTTGCTTTTACTGTTGACAAAATATTTTTATCATTTAGATGGGCTAATTCTTTGCTATTTAATTCCAACTTTCGTTTAAGTTTATAGTCTACCCATTCTGGTTGAAGTTCACCGAGGAACGACAGAACAGCTCTCGCACGAATTGTCGATGCATAACGAATATCTCTTGCCAAAACAACGGATACAGGCGACATACTTATGTGGCGAGCAAGACTCGATTGTGAATCTAAAACAGCAATGTTTTCATCGCTTGAACCATATTGAACATAATGATGATTTCTCCTATATAGTTCTTTCAATGAAACAAATACATTTTCATAATAGCCAGCTAATAATGATTTGGCAATTGATGGCCAATCACCAGATGTCATTTGTGATGGTCCATAATATTCCTTTGATGACTTAAAAGATCTTTCTAAACTTTTATAGCGTCGTAATGCCTGTCGAACAATATGGTGAATACTACTCAGGCCTTTCGCTTGGCAAATAACTTGCAAATTATATCCCTTGCCTGGCACAGATTGATCGACACGCAAAACTTCTTGCATTACATTAAATAATGTCATAAAATCGCCATCTGAACTTTTTAGATTTTGTGGTATTGATTTCAATAAAGTCGTAGTATTCAGAACACTTAGAATAGATGATAGATAGATAAGATCACGTCCACAAGAATATTTCGTAAGAGCAGCCAATACACATTTGGACATGGCCAATGAACCAAAATCGGGTAGCTTAGCCAGAGCTTCACCGTCTTCTGTGAATTTTTCACTTGGAGTGGCCTCCAAAATGCCTTTAAAAAGTAATTGAAAGTTATGATAATACATTCATTATCTCAAAATTATAAAGATAAATAATTGCTTTCTATTAAATCAACTTTCATTACAATGGGTTTCATAAACTCAACAGACTAGGGTTTAGAAACAGTAATGAAATCATTTCATCTGTATCCACCTGAAAGACGTTTTTAAAGTGATTGTCTATCTTATCGGAAGGCTTTCCCGGTTTTAAATTAGCAAAGACACGTATCAACAAAAAATAACTTTTTTCGACTTTAGCAATCACTTCTGTCTTTTTTTTAGAGTATGCTCGACGTGCTACAAAGACACTTCTCAAGAACAGGCATAATAAAGGGACCTCTAGATTTTATAGGCTTGTTTAGGGGTTTGCGGATTTTGTTGTCGACATTTGAAGTTCTTGTTCATTTTCGTTTTTCGGCAAAGAATCTCTTTTACAATTTTGATATTGAGTTTCAAATGTTTTTCTTTTCGTTTGGGAAAGGGTTTATAAGTCTGAAATAAAAATTTCACTTTCTCATTCATTGACTGTCGGTTCACTTGGCTCTATACTGAAAGATGATGGAAATTAATGTTTATAAAACTGTTTACCAAATAATCAAAAGCAGACTTATGCTAAATATTCATCTTTTATAGACAGAAGAATGTCATTGTGAGGAGTATGCAGAAGTTGATCTTCTGTAAAACCAATTTACAGAAAATATGACTTTCAAGAATTGTAATAATATGCCTCTGGGATTAGACTATGCAACACGATAGAGCTATTTTAATTATAAGCAATATCTCTTGTATCATATAAAGTTGGCGTTGTGGTGATAAGAACAATACGTTGAAATATACATGTTTGTCACACTCTATGAATGATGCCCAAAAACTATACAAATGAAAACCAAAAAGGGGACTTTTATCCCTTTAGAATTTCATTTATGTCAAAGAATTGAGACATCCCTTTATAATCCGAGTTTCGAGGTTGAAAACAACCTTTACCATACAGATACGTCTGCCACGGTCTCCACGAAGACAAAACGACCGTATCTCTCTAGAGAATTTAGACTCTTTTGGATTCGGATATTTAAAATCTATACCCCCGCAAAAGTAGACGGTCATCCTATATTATAAGGCCACCCCCTGTATAAGGCCATGTCCAAGCAAAAGTTCAAATGCCCTATTAGAAGGTCCTGCACTAATTAATTAATATATTCCAAAATTATCGAAATTTTCATAAATATTAATTAATAATTAAGGAAATATAACCGATTTTCTAATGTTTTGGGGGGGAAATCCTTCCTTTCCTATCATAAATAGTACAGTTTTTACAAAAATCGTAGTTTTTCAGCAAAAAACACCTAAAAAACAATAATTAAAGTTATTAATTAATTATTAATTTTTTAAATGGTTTTAATTAAAAACTGGCCAAAAATTGACCCCCAATAGAAGGCCATCCAAAAAGTAGCGATGTATCAAGACACTGTATAAGGGCATGCCCTTTTATTCTGGGGGAGCGTTTACTCTAAATCCAAACGTTCATAGGCTATCGCAAGAAAAAAATTGAAAATGAAAAAAAAATCAAAATCCAAAGTATCAAAGTCGAAGAAGTCTTCTAAAAGTCAAATCAGCCTCATTTTTGCTTTTCATCGTGTTTTTTTCGTATACGTGACATAATTCGTGGGGGTATGCGTGCCGTGAATGGATGTGAAAGAAGGTCTTCTTCGCACTCACCAAAAATCCGTACTCTCCAATCAACAGCATAAAATAGACATTCTCTATATTAGTAAATATTTCTTACCTAATGCTCGTAGTTCTTTATTCGTATGATCAATTATTTTGCTTGGTGGATGATCTGGAAAGAATTGTTTCATATAGTTCATTCCTTGTTTTAATGGTGATTTTCGCAATCCGAATTCGACATTCGTCAAATCCGATTGGCAGATTTGTGGTGTTGGATATCGTTTATCTTCAACTTTAAAATCATATAATGAATAATATTCTCCAGGTTGTGTTCGACCCAATCGTCCGAGACGTTGTTTTATCGTAGATTCAGCTGCTCGCTCTTCTTTTAGTACAGTTCGTTTAGAGTCTGGATCGTAAACAGGAATATTGATCATACCCATATCAATGACATATTTTAATTGAGGAAATGTTAACGAAGTTTCAGCGACTGTTGTGGAAAAAAATACACTTCCATTCTCAATATATTCTTTTTGTTGAGAAGCTTGTTGTGATTGAATAAGAGGATAAGCAATAATTACTCCGCCAGTTATTTGTTTCAGTAACGAACAACATTCATTAACATCCTTGACAGAGCTAACAAAACACAAAATTTGATCATATCGTCGACGTTTTTGATATAATTCTTGTACAATGTTCAATATATTTTCATTTGGGCGAGAAACTTTAGTAACCTCATATCTAGTACCCATTTGTGGCATTTCAAATTCGGCTAATCTTGTTCCCTTTATCTGGCGAAAAAGGCTCGGTACAGATGAATCAAGTGTAGCAGATGAAATAATTATTTTCATTTTTGATTTTATACCTGGATTAACAGATAACATTCGTGCTAATAATGCTAAACAATGATCGATATTCACTGAACGTTCATGAACTTCATCAATAAAGAAAACAATTGATTTGTTCAATTGAGTATTGCGTGTAATGAAATTTTCATCGTACAGTAAACGTTCTTTAAGAAGACCATCAGTTACGTATAGAATTTTTCCTTTAGGATTTTTTTCAGCACCACTAACAGCCCATCCGGCTAATTTCTCTGAAAATGGATCTGCCGCTGTTGTCATTGTTTCATTAACACGTTGACAAATTAATGTACAAGGTAAACGTCGAGGTTGTGTAACAATAATTTTATCGTAACCTTCTGCAGCAAGCAGAGCGGGTAATAATGTTGATTTTCCTAGAAATAGAAAATATGACTATGAACTACATCTTAAATCAATAATGAATATAAGATATTTTAGTTCGATGTAGATGAATTAAGCACAAGATTCGAGTAAAAGTTACCAAGATTCGTCTGGGAACTTGGTCCACAGTTCCTATTCTTGGTCCAAGTACAACTTGATGAACTCTATCCAATGGTATAATTAGATTTTCCATAGCTCCAACCATATGTACAAAAATCCCAAAATACTGGTATTTTACATAGAATCCATATATCCAGTGGTGTAATCAGATTTTCCATAGCTCAAACCACGTCCGAAAAAAATTCCAAAATACTGATTTTTTACTATAGGATCCTTAGAACCCATATAGTAAATGTTGCGAAGATTCGTTTAGGAACTTCGTCCAGCAAAACCACTAATGTTTCAAGTATAACTCGACAAGATGTATCGGATAGTGACAGTCTTATCTCGACATAAAAATGTTCTGTTCACGAGAAATCGCCACTTTGTGCCTGGAATACTGCCGAGTAGGCGAAGTTCGAGTGGTAATCAGGCAATTTATTGAGAACAGAACATGTTATCGAGAAATGGCTTTCAGCATTTGATAAAGCTCGTCGTGTTGTACTTGGAACATGAATGGTTTTGACGGAACAAGTTCTTCGACGAATCTTGGCAACTTTTACTATGCGGGTTCTAAGGACCCTATAGTAAAAATCAGTATTTTGGGATTTTTGGACATATGGTTGGAGCTATGGAAAATCTAATTATACCATTGGATAGAGTTCATCGAATTGTACTTGGACCAAGAATAGGAACTGTGGACCAAGTTCCTAGACGAATCTTGGCAACTTTTACTCGAATCTTGTGCTAACTTCACTAACATTCTAGTTCGATGCAATGATATCTTATTTTTAATCCAAATAAGGTTTTCAATAAAAAAGTCTTTTTACCTGATCCAGTTGATGTTGCAATCGTAGCAACTGTATGTTTGTCAATTTTATCCAATAGATCTAATGCCGATTCAAACAAAGGTAGTTGGATATTAAAGCAACAATAATATATGATTAATCGTTGTAATACATCAGGTATTAAATCAAAATGTTTCGCATCATGACCAACATATTTTTGGTTCGTCTTGAAAGCTCTTTTAACTTCATTAACGAATGTTTCCAGAACAGTGATTGATTTTGCACTTGGCTTTTTGTCATGATGACTCCGTTGCATGATAATATTTTGTTCAATAAATTCTTCAAGTGCTTGATGTTTGAGTGGTTCCATTTCTTTTTCAAACGACTTATCTTTTATAAAACTATCTGTTTGTTTTTCTATTTCAGTTTTTATTGTCGTTAGATCATTCGAAATGCATTGTTCGGTTAATGATTTTGCTATATCTTCAATATAGTTATTAAATAGTTCAGTGTATTCGTTCGACTTGTCTTGTAGTATTCGAGTAAAAGATTTGACATATTGTTTCCAATATTGTGCTCTAGATTTAATCTTTGAAACTACCATTTCTGTGGATTTGGTGATTCTCTTCAAACAACGTTGGTAAAAATCTTTAGCTCTCTGTATCAATTTTATAAATTTTTGAATTCGTGCTAGAACCGCTTTGAATATATCATGATGATCTCGAAAACCTACAATGGTTACAGTATACGTTACTGTTGATCCATGAGTTACTTCTCCAAGCATCATTTTAGGTAGCCTATCAATAAAATGATTATCGATTTTCTGTCCTGTTTTCTTCATATGATCTAAGATTACTGATTGTTTTGGCGCGAGATAATCACGTGCTAGTTGTGTTTCGATTTTACTGTACTGGATAGCTATAATCGCTTTTTCTATCTTTTCTATGTTCGCCTTTTCTTGTTCTCCCTTTTGTTTATGAACCTGTAATTCTTTGATCAATTTGTCGAGTTCTGAGATTTGGCGCGCTTGTCGTTCTTTTTCTTTTTCAGCATTCTTCTGTTTTTCTTGAGCGGCTATAAGTTTTTGGCCCAGATCTTGCTTATGTGCTTCATTCTTTTCAATTAGTTTGGCGTTGTTAGCTTCCATTTCTTTTATTTTTTTAGCGAAGTCTAATATTTCTTGGACTTTCCGCTCTTTTTCTTCTTCAGCACTTTTTTGTTTTGCTTGAGCGGCTGCAAGCTTGTTTTCCACCTCTTTATCGATTTTTTGCTTCATATCCTTTGAAGCCTTTTGGGCTGCTAGTAATTGATTTATTTCTCCTCCGAGTTTTAATATTTCATCGGACTGGCGTTCTCGTTCTTTTTGAGCATTCATATGAGCTTTTTTATTGCTTGCAAGTTCTTTTTCCAGATATTGGTTTTCTTTATTCTTTTGATCTAATTGGTCACTGATTGCTTTTACTTCTTCAGTAGTCCTTTTCATTTCCCGTTGCTGAGCCTCCATCTCTGCTCGTAAGTTTTCAAGATTCGCAATTGAAAGTGATTTTTCTTCCAAAGATACTTGTTGTGATACACTAGTATTAGCTAATTCTTCTTGTAAATTATCAGCAAGACTTCTTTCTTGTGTATTATCCAGTGTTGTCAATGGTAAAGATATAATATCTTCCTTACTTTTAACATCAAACAACGACCATTGTCCATTTTCTGATGATTCGGTTCCCTATTGCGAACAGTATAAATTTTATTTTAAGATTATATATTTACGATTTCAAGAATCGTGTGTCCGTAGAAGACAGTATTTCGTCGATTTGTTCAGAATGACTCAATAACTATAGTACTATAATATCTCAACAATAGAAAATTCTTCGTTCTATAAAACTGTGCCGATTAGGACAAAAGTTTTGCAGCATCGTGTCTTTTGCGCATATTCGAACCGAGAAATAATCAATCATACTAGGTTTGCCGTCAAACGACGCAGAATGTGATTCTCTGCGCTTCAAGGAAAGAACTACAGTATATCTAGAGCAGAAAACTTTCATGGTGTATTAGTAAAATACGCTCCAACCCAACTTCAACCATCGTTTAATTCGAAGATATTATCCTTTCATGGAGCTTTGATTTCTATGGGGTATCCCAAAAGTCACTTCCAGTTAAATTTTTCGTATATCTTTACTATTTGTTTTAACTTTATCAACTAATATTTTTTTAATTTATAGGTCCATATACCGAGTTTTTATTTATACGAACAAACTTGAAAAGCACTCTTCAAAGCTATCATCTCTAACCGAAATACAAAAGTTTAGCCTTTTTTCTATATGTACAGGGTTCGAAATAATATTAATCGGGGAGGGAGGGGGGGATCTCTATGATTTTAAATAGCATAAATAATACATTTTATATCAAATGAAAGCCCGTCGAAAACGGGATTTAAGAGTATAACTCGTCGTTTATAAGATAAGAATGGACTATAGAATTAAAGCAAGTTTCATGTGGTTGGACACTCACATGAGTGGGTGTAGTCAATCACAAAAACATAAAGTTCTCAGAAACTTTTTTGCCTATTGAGCTTTGTGGACTTCTCTTTGCTGATCATTTTGCTAAAAACATTTTTAAATTTGATCAACAAATAACGGTACTAAGGTCGAAATACTTAAAATATCTTAGCTATATCAACCGGAGCATTTTGAAATTCTCAGTATTTTGATCCTAGCGCCGTTATTTATTGATCAAGTTTTAAAATTTTTTTACTAAAATGATCCGCAAAGGAAGTTCTACAAAGTTCGACAGACAAAAAAGAGTTCTGACAACTTTATGTTTTTTGTGGTTAACTACCCATGGAAGTCCCCAATCACATGAAACTTACCCGTTCTCATCTTTTGAAGGGTACGTTTGAAGTTTGCTTGTATAAGTAAAACTCGGTATATAGACCTATAATTCTTTTAAATCAGTTGATAAAGCTAAACCAAATAGTAAAGATATACGAAAAATTTACGTGGAAGGGACTTTTGGCACACCCGGTACATTCATGAAACTCAACACCAATCCATTCCCTTTAAAAAACCGTTGATTAGAAAACCAAATATCATTTCGAACATCCACTCCAAGCCAACTTCGAGCTACTGCAAGCCTTGTAGTAGCTTGGAATAGATCGATAAAAGGAAGGGGGATCGTTAAGTGGACAAATCGGCCCCCCAGCAAGTCGACTTCTTTTTTATCGCAATAGCTCACATTCGAGGACTGGACTTCAGCATCGTTTGAATCAGGCTCATCTGTTGCATTTAGAGAGGGCCTAGCGTTTGATTTCGCCCAGTAATGGTTATAGACCACTATAGCCCATATTTTGACTCTTCCACTACTCGAATCATAGTCAACCACTTTTCAGTTCATGCCAATCAACAGAGATTTCGAAGCTGAACATTTTGGTACAAAAATAGTGCATCGAAAAAGTGGAGGTCTATGCCATATGCTTGGCATACTGGATGAAAATCGTCATTTAAGGCCATTTTAGCCCGTTTTCCGTCAATTTCACCACTAGAAACATAGTGGTCCATTTTTGTTGTCATGCCAATCGATAGAGCTCTTCAAGCTGAAGATTTTATATTCAAAATATCTTATAAAATATGTGGGCGTCCATATCATATGGGGCACAAACTAGCTAAGGTACTTTGGACCAGTTTAGCCCATTTTTTGACGATTTCGCCTATACACGCATACGGATCCACTTGTAATTTCTTTTTTGAGCGAAAAAGTAGAATTTCAAGAGTTCTATGCTTTCGAATAAAATTAGGGTGAGCCACTATGCGTCCAGCGGCGAAATGTTCCAAAAACGGGCTAAAATGCCCTAAAATCATCATTATAGCCACTATGTCAACGAAATAACATGAGCATCCACTTTTTTCAATCAACTGACAGAAGATGAACGTAGCATACAACGAGACACAAACAAGTCTGGTTATGCAGGACATATCCTGCGGATATTTTGAGTGTCAGCTGCACAAACCCGATCCCGAAAAATTATTTTCGCCAATTCCTATCCCGATCCCGTCCCGTAGGCTTAATTACAATCCCGTTAAATTCCGAAATTTTTTTTCGCTAAAATACAAACAGCTGTCGCTTGTGTGTGACAGGCTGAAAGAAAGAATCTGATTGACTGTCGTGTGAGGACGACAGTTTCTTGCGTGTGTTTAATTGTTTACTTTATCGGTGAAAGAAGTTATCTGCTAATAACAGCTA